CCCATTGCAAAATAATTACATTCATTTCCATTTCCAAATCAACACTCAAAGACCTGTTTAAATATTCCAGTTTGCCATATTCATTGTTTTCCATTTCAGAGAATGACACATTATAAGATTTACAGGAAACTAAACTAAGTTGAAAAAAAAAACTTGAAGTGAAAGAACGGCACGATCAGTGAACTTCAGCTATCTCTCCTTCTATAGGAATAAAATAGCTTCTATAGGAACATCCTTGTGGCAAGTCTTTTACCCTTACTCTGCGGAGACATATGCTTCAGCTTCAGATTTTTGAAAAATATATTTAGCATCAGACCTCATTTTTTGCTTTCTTAAAATTATTTCACTTGAACTCCAGAAGTCAAGTGTTTTCATTCTTTTAGTTACACTAGTATGTCATACGTGCGTTGCACGTGATGCATATTAAGAAACTACATGAGTTTAAATATTTGAGGCAACAACAGAGAAAAGCAAACAAAAGCCTCTACCAACCTCATTCATTAGACACAAGAAAACAACGCAATAGAGGATACAACATGTAAAAAGACAAAAAACCAGCTCCACACTTCATATACACTATAACCAATTCAAGCTGCTCAAAATCAAAATAGAACCATTTGCTTTAGATGTCGAAGTTCCATAAATACGAACTTTGTACCGGGCAAATTATTTCTTTCCTCTTAGTTTCACTCTCAAGACCCTCTCTAGTTTGGTAATTATCTACTAATTTGGAATTGCTTTTTAAGACACGTACTCTTGAATCACTTGAGGCTTCTCATTGATGAGCTGCAACATCATGGATGTATGTTGGCAACATCATTCATTACACATCCTCCACAAACAATTACTATGCAATAACTTATGTTGGCAATGCAAACCTAACCAAATCCGTTCAAGAAAACCAACCAACAAACAAACGTGCATTTTATGTGAATCTGAGTCATTGTTTAATCCATTTGTATGAGCTAAATGCAACTCTTTAGATATATAGAAAGTTGTCTTAAGCAAGAATGGCTATTAAATCTGTAATTCTATCATTTTGAAGTTTGTTTGGAACCGGTGGAAGGCACATATGTAAGTGCAGATGAAATTCATGGACCTGATATCAATAATTCTAAAGCTCAATAATCGAACTCATGGATCTGCAGTGGAAGCAATAGGAACTCTAAAGGCTCTTGCATGTATAGAATTAAGTGTAAATAATCAAATAAAACACACAATAGCATCTCCCTCATATGCTCTCTTTATTATCAAAATAATGAAAAGGAAAATGAAACGTAATTTACCTTTCAACAGATGAGTTCTCCCACTAACCTCAAAGTCCCTAAAAATCCAAGGACTGCAACCAAATTGATTAATGCAAACAGATCCAGAAGCACGACTTATTTCTTCCATTGCTATACAGTGATACAAGTAATCAGGACCAAGGCCTCCATATTCCTCTACAGTGGAAACAATTGAGTCAAACAAGATGAGATATAGTGAATTTCACGGGCAATAGACAAATGAAAAGGTAGGTACTAAAGGAGACTAGAAATGTCATCCATGAAAAAAAAATCACCACATACAAAATAACACCAAAGCATGAAACATAACATAATAACACCAAAGTATTGCAACTAAGTAACAGGAAAATCACCACATACAAGAAACTCTAAGGACACAAAGGGGGTTTGGAATATTTTAGCATCAATGAGACATGAGTTGTGATGACATAATCCCTAATAGAATTACTAACCTTTGAGCCCTTTGCTAGCCATAGAAGCTTTACTTCCATGTCAGATCTCGAATGCACTATACCACAAGGCAAATAACCAATACAGGATTCACTTGTACCAGAGTCCTGAATGTTAGACATGAAATCATTAATTGTTGTTAATGCTGCAACGCAAACAAACTCATAACATCATGTAAACTTTAACGTGATGAAACACTAGCTGACAGCTTAAGTTTCACAAACCAACAACATTGGGAAGGGAAAGGCATATTGCGAAAATAACTAATCATAAGCAGCTCCTAGAAATGAAAATGATCAAAGGAATGTTCTGATTGTTTCTTAAAAAAGAACAAAAAAGTTTTACCAATATCGTATCAAAGGGATGAGATGTTGCTTCCATCTATCGATTTTACAAATCACAAGGATTTTATTAAATACAAAACAAATAATGAAATTAAGAAGCCTTTTAGAGAAAATTACTGTGCATCAGTTCAATGTGATAAAAGAAATAATTGTCAGTCGGTACTTTTACTTCTTTCCGAGACATAGTTCAATCTCATTGACATCGTGGTTCCTCTTTCTGTATAACTAATTAGAAACATATATGCATCTTCTAGATACAAGATCCCGTGGTTGAGACCCGAGATTGATTTCCCTTATTTGTAACTGCACGCGCACCATTATTTGTTCATGATATAAATTTTATATCTATATGATGGTTCATTAGCTATTTCTAATAATAAGCAGTACCAGGATACTGCAATCTCAGTTTGGCTTCAATCCTCAATGTCTTCTAAACTCAACATATTAGAATTGATATTTATATTTTTTGTTATTATAAAAGAACCATAAATAATTTATAATTTTGAACAAAGTCTTTCTCCCTTGTTTGTGAGGACTAAGTCCATCTAAAAGCTTTATTATTTCCCGAAGGCATTAGTCGACTAATCTGGCTCAAATTCCCTCCTAAGGGACTCATACAAGATGAACTTGATGTAATAATTAATTAGAAATTGAAACCTGAAACTAGCTAATATATATGGCTGTTTTTCACCATCCGGACGTCAAAATTCAAGGCATGCAAATGCCAAATACCGATTTATCGGTGACCATATGCGAAACTAAGAAAACTTAATAGTACCAAAAATTAAGCAAAATACTACAGAAAGATCACAGATTTCCACACCATAAACATGAAAACAAAAGCCAGAAAGTTTTCAGAAATCAAACTTCGATCTTCGCTTTTTGCCCGTCGGAACCGTTGGGCGAGATTCAAGAGAGCTTGAAGAGGAGATGGGAAAGCTGCTGCTGCCGCCGCCATTTTCCTCTTCTACGTTCAATTTGGATTTCGATTTGGAAGAGGAGAGGAGAAGGAGAGGTGGCGAGATCCGATTCGGCGAGATCCGATTTGGGTCGACGGCGGCGGCGAGCTTCAGGGATCGATGGCGGCGGTGAACTCCGATGGAGGCGGTGAACTCCGACGAAAGCGGCGAGCACGGGGGTTTGGGGCAGGTTTTCTAATGAGAGAGAGAAAGAGAGAGAGAACGGGGATTCTGAGTTTTTTTCTCTTTTTCGCGAAAATAAAGGGGGGAAATTTCCCGCCTATAGGTAAAAATTTGGGGTGTTTTTTTGGCGACGCGGATGAACGAAACAGCGTCGTAAAAAGTAACCTTTTAGCGACGCAAAACAAGAACGTCGGGAAAAAGAGACTTTTAGCGACGTTAACTTAACACGTCGCGATAAATGCATATTATTAGCGACGCTAATCCTAAAACGTCGCTAAAAAGCTATACTTTTGCCGACGAAAATAAAAAAACGTCGGGAAATCCATAACTTTTACCGACGCTAAGTTAGAACGTCGCTAATAATATACACTTTTAGCGACGCTAATTATAAACGTCGGGAAAAATATATTTTTTGCCGACGCTAACTAAAAGCGTCGGGAAAAATATAATTTTTACCGACGTATTTAACCATGCGTCGGGAATAAGCGTCGGGAAAAGTGCAATTTGTTGTAGTGTTTGCTAAAAATCACCTTCAAGCTACCCAATTGATCGATAGAAAACCCTAAAAATGTGGTTGCTATTTATATCAAACAGCAAACCCAATCAGTGCAGGAAACCAAGCCCAGGCCTAAAACCGCATAGCGGTCGATCGCATCGCCAGTCGCGGTCGACCGTGGAAAACGACAGAGAATAAAAAACCACTACAGGGTCTCGTGATCGATCGCTGCACCACTCGCAGTCAACTGTAAAAGTCAAAAAATTTTCCTATGTTCGTGCATGTCCGTGGTCGACCGCAGCTCCACTCGCGGTCGACCGTGCAGCATCCAAAATATTTTATGCTTTAATTTTCCTGAGCTTCGTCACCTTCACCTCCAATTCTACAACTCGGACCCTCGTTAAGTTCTTACTCATCGCGCATAATATTTTTGGATCTCTTCAACAAGGAGAGTTTCTCTTGGATTGATCTTCTCCACCGTTCTTTATCAAGCTATATATGATTGTGTTCCTTGAAGGACGATTGGTCTAATATAAGGGCTATACGATCTTTCTTGAATTTTATGCTTTAGTTGTTTGTATTGGTTTTGCTTCAAGTTCATTTACGGCATACTCAAGGCAGTTGGATTGAGGGTTGGGAGTAGCTAGGGTAAGGAGTTACTCATTGTGCGAGTTAGGTTGGACAATTGATTTTAGGTAGATTCCAATGTGCTGTTTTGTAAGTTTACTGAAATGGGTTTATGATTCAGGTGAAATCTTTACATAGTGCGGAAGCCCCTTTGCCAGAAGGAAGAGTGAACGTAGGGTTGTTATCCGAATTACTATAAAATCTTATTTGTTCCTTGTTGATTTCTCTTAGTTTTTAATTAAGTTGCTTTACATTGTTTATCGTTTTTAGTTTATATATTCCATTGCATATTCTGTATTTTTGACAAAAATAGTAGCAATCTTATTCAACCCCCCACCCCCCACCCCTTAAATCCAACCATCTCTAGTTAACTTAATTGGTACAATAAAAAATTAGTGTAATTTGGTTTCAAATATGGTAAACAATTCTTTCATAACAAGTGAGCCTCACAATTTTCACGGGACACGACAAAAAAAACTACACCAATCAACTTTAAGACTAGTTGGTTGGTGTTGAAACAAACACTTATTAATATATATTCGATTCATTTTCATCCCTACTTGTTGTGTTTAGCAACCTAATTAATCGGAAAAATGTACAAATTTAGTAGCACTTATAATAGATTAACAAACCAAACGAAAAACTCATTCTTTTCACTTATTTTGCAAACAAATTTCATCTTCTCAATCCCAAAAGAACGAATAACAATTAGCAATGGCGATCGAATGGAACGATATAAAAAATGTCCACGGACCATTACTCCGATCCATGCGACCCATTGTTTATGTTCGAAGCGAAAAAGAAGCTCGAGTGCAGATACGTTATTTACGTCAAAGAGACATCCGTGTGATTGATTACATATTTCTTTGGTACATTTTTACTTGCTTCCGTTGGTTCTTGCTTGTACATATTGAAGGTTCTAATTTTGCTCTCGCCTCTAAGCTCCATTTCTTCGGAAATACCCTCATCGCAGGTGAGTATAATGAATTTAGAAAATTAGAATTTTTTAGTACATTAATTTTTGATCGGATGTTACGTGCTGCAGTTTGTTTCAATATCAAGATCCACATGAACAACAAAGAATTCAAGGTAATTGACCCTCATTACGTACGTAATTCTACAAGTATTTCTTTGAAGTGAAAGAAATTAATAAGCAATTGTTTGGTATGTTGCAATTTGTCGTATGCAAATTGAATTAATTCATGTAGTATTCGTTGAAGGAAATTTAATCCGGATTATCCTTTGGATGCCTGAAGAAATATTATAGTAAATTTATTTCAACCTAAAAAATACAGTGTTTCATTCATAGTAAAATATTTTGGGCTTGAATATTTTGTATAAAAAATGTATTTTATTGAAAATCAAATTTTTGTTTACTTGAAATTCTAGATAGGTTTATACTTTCTGAGTCAGAATCAAATGAACATTATTTTATAGTTTTTACACTAATAAAAGGACTTGCAACATTTTTTTATTGTCAATTTTGACTGCAACAAATGGTGCAGTTTTTTTTCCCCCACTCTACAAAATGAAAATTCAATTACCTTCCCCAGCAGCCAACCTAGCTTGACTGCAAAATTTAGCAGCATAACTACAACATAGCTCAATTTTGGGTGAATCAAGCAATCCCGTATTGTAATTCAAAAAAATTAGTGACACGATAGTAACGCATTATGGATTTTTGCAGGATGTGAACAAAACTTTGGTGTGCTGCATGATTTGCCAGATTATGTTAACTTTGGCGGTCGTATACATTCAGGTTGAATGGCCTGAACTAATTTGTCGGTTTATTTTTGATTTAGCATATATTGGGTTGGTCGTTTGTTGTATACGTTTGTAAATATTTAACCTTTTTTTTTTGGGGTAGCCCAAAGTAGATGGTTACTGACAGATGAATTATTTGATTTTAGTTTTCTAATTATGCAAAGAATAATGTGAATGTCATCGGTGGACGTTTGGTTTGAGGCAATTAATCAATTTTGTAAATCCTGATATATTTTTTTTTTGACAAGAAAATATGTACTAGTCCAAGTCTAGATCATTTATAGTACATATAGCAAGAGGCGTTACCTATTGGATTAGTACAAAAATAGGCGTACATGCTTATTGTGGACCAAGAGATCAATTGTCCATCTACAGAATGCATTTTCCCTATTGATGGTTTGATCACTAGAATAATGGATAGAAAACATCCTAAATGCTATTTTCAAGCAAGCAACTAAATGGATTTGAAGTATTTGTGCAAATTATATGATTTTGGATTTCTTTATCAAATTTCACTTTTGATTTGGGAAGTTCAAAAATAAGTGATAAGCCAAGAGAGGAAAGTTCTCCAAAAATCAATTGACATCCAACAAATATACCAGTCCACATTTATTCTTATATTAAATTAAACTCCTTTTGACATGGAAAGGTGACATGCTTTTAAAAATCTTCCTTCTTTGGTGCCATGTAAACAATTTGGTATGTTCTGTAACCAAGATCCTAGCATCCTTCACAAAGGACAAAATATTCATAATTTCCTCTCAAAATTTTCGCAACAACTAAAATTTCATTGTTCCCATATAATTGCCATCTGACAACTCTTGACCAAACTACGACTATTCTCCTCTGGAAGCATCACCATCATAATTGCATGTTGGAAACTTTTATGCAAGAGCAAATTGTAGGCGTTAAAAATTATCTATAGGTTCTCACACGCAGCTTGAGACGAAAAGAATATGATGAACATCATTATCTGAGTCAAGGGGAATTATCTGACGTCGACAAGCGCATGAAGCGAGTCGACGAATCGTACGAATCAACGAGGCAGCAGAATAACAAAAAGACGATTCGATCGGGAGTTACGTTTCACCCACGAAAGATAAAGCGTCACTCGTGTCTCGTCCACCCCACGTATGATTCACCCATGGGAGATTGTGGATCTCTTCTCCAACTTTCCAACACATTTTAAATTGCGTCATTCCGAGATCGGACCAAAAAAATACAGGGAAAACACTCAAGGCACGCAAAACAACATCCCGGTCGAAACTGAGACACGTATTGTTTCTCGGCCAAGGCCGAGACAGACTCTGTGTCTCGGCTAAGGCCGAGACACAAAATCTGTCTCGTGCCTGAAGTATTGTTTTTACTGCTAACCGCCAGGATTTCGGTATATTCTGATTCAAAGTCTTCCCAACTGATTTGAAGCTATCTTGTAATGTGGTTAAGTGGTTATAACTGAGGATGCGATCAAATCGGTCGTTCTTATCTGAAAACTGAGCTTCTAAAGCTTATAAATATGGTCCTAGGGACTTCATTTGCACAGATCCAGAATTCTCGAGTCTCGGCGAAGCCCTGTCGAATTGAAGAGTGAGGGGCACGAATTTCAGAGATGAGGAAGAGATCTTCGTGAGTTCTTCAGCACAAAGAGAGGAAGAGTTCGAGATATTTGCATCATGTTCATATATTTCCCTTGAGATTCCAGCTAGCTGTGATTCTTGAGAAGAATGATTGTCTCGCTGTTGCCGAGATAGTCACTTCAATTTTTTATCTCCTTTGCGAGGCAATAAAATATTTATTTGGATCTGATCAGTTGGTGGCCCATGGATAAACCCCGGCACCGGCAAAGATCCCGCACAAGCAGAAGACCGATAAACGATCTTTCTGCGTGTGTTCTTAAGAAAGTTATAATCTTTTTATTTTCATTGTGTAAGAAGACTTATAAAAATGCTTTCTTTTTTGAACTTATTGTAACGACTGAAGTTGTAATAAGTCCCGCAATGAACAAATCAACTTTCGACGTGAACACGCTGGCGACCACAGTGAGAGCCAACAGTCTCGCTGTCGAGGCTGTCGTGCCGCAGTTGCTAATCAAGATCCCTATGGATGAAGAAGTAGAGTATGAATTCGACTAGCAGAAGTTCGAGGAATATGTCTCCAACTCCTCCTCTAGATATTCCTCTCCCTACAAGCGTAGGAAGACCGTAGGAAGACCACTTCAGTGAAGAAGGTTAATCGGCCTTCAGTTCTAAAAATTCGGGGTGATAATCTTCGTCTGAATGTTGTGGAAGACTCCTCCCTAGCGTCCAAAGAAACCAGATCTGGTGCTCGCCATAACTCCTCAAAAGTTAAGGAGTTGCCCATCGAAGGCGCACCGGTGCTGATGAAAAGGGCTCGTCAGAGGCGCCGCCAATGTCTTTCCCTCCAATTCGCCAAAGCTTTGGAACATTTGGACGGACTCAACTACCAAAGGGATCTATAGTTTAGAAGACGCCAACTGGCTAAGTCGTTAACACAGCAAGCGTCGGGATCCTCCTCCCAACCGCTAACTAACAAATAGGTTCGTGTTAAACGAACCTGTTCTACGCTTGAGGAGCGCATCCAAAAACGTCGTGTACTTCTTGCGTATGCATGGATCCTTGTGCGAAAGGCATAATAACTGCAAAAATAAGAGGTGGTCAAAGAATCACCAAAATCTAAGCAGGTTTGGGTGCTAAAGCACAAGACAGCGCCTAAAACTACACTGAAGATAGTTAAAGCATCTCTACCTAACAAGAGACACCAGTTGTGTCTCTCACTCACTTCTAGCTTCAAGGCTGCTCCCCAGCCTTTGTCAATTTCAGATCCCACTCCTTCTGCTCTAGCACCTCTGGTGAAGCCGTACGACAGCGTGGATCTCTTCAAGTTTAGAATTCCGCTTGTGTCCGCTGAATGATTCTTGGGCAAGGATCCAAACTGGGGGTCGTAAGCAACCTCCCAACAAGTTGATTCTTGTAACCATCCGCTTAGGGGTACGTCTGAAAAACCAGGAGCCCGTTAGGGTTTTACCCTCACGAATGTGTGATTCTGAATGAGTGACTCCTACGAATGCCAACAAGGTGTCATCTAATAAAAAAAAGACGCGTTCGACAGACGATAGCGTTATACCTAAAAGAACAAATGAACAACTAATATGTTGCTCTGGCCACAACACCGACGAGTTATACTATCGGGCTTAGGGTAAGTCTTGAATGAGAAATACCCCAAAAATAGACTCTTACTATCCTTGTGAGAGGTTAATCAGGGCAGTACTATCAGAATGTAGCTGCCCCAAGACCACTCCACAGAGGGTCTCTGTATTCAAAAGGATCTCCACAGAAGCGTCCAAACTCAAACCATGGCGCTTCTGCAAAATAGGATCAACCAGTCAAGCTAACAGATTCTCAAAGGTCATTATCAACATGATCGATAAGGGGAAGTCAACTCGGCGTTCCAGTCTTGATACTTTCCCCGGAACATCTCAATGCCTCACTTGGCTACGGTCCGAGACTATCAGACCTAGACAGAGTAGAGGACAATCTTCAGATGATGAGACATTAAATACAAGCTCCGTAATTAGCTTTGATAACAATGTGTCTAGTACGAGGCGATCTCGAGAAGCATTCATGATCACTAATGAGTAGGTCACTCAGCTCCTTCAAGAAGCCTTAGCTAAACAGAAGGAGGATTTCAAAATAGAGATGGAGAGGGCGGTACAACGACTCAAGGATTTATATGCCATGCATCTCCAAGAGTTGTCAAATCAGCATGGTGAATCTACTCGTCACCACATTACCAATCAGGTAGATAGCGACTCAGAAGTGAATGAGAATACCATTGCTAATATCCCTCCCGATGATAAAATTATTGGGGATGGCCCCAACGCTAGGGGTGGCCCCATCAAAAATACCAACACTGTGGGTGGCCCCACCATTCTTTCTCACTCAAAGTCGCCTAAAGAAAGATGTAGGTGAACATTTGAAAATGAAGGACCTTGAGAGCAAGATCAACGCTTTAATGTCTGCTCAAGAGGTAAAGAAGACCGGCATTCTGTGTCCTTATCCGAGGGAGTAGGAATCGATTTCGTATCCAACGAAGTTCAACCTGATTAACTTCATGCTGTTCGACGAAAGGGATTCACCCACTTAACACTTGATTTACTTCAAGTCCCACCTAGGCGTCATTTCAGGCAATGAACCTCTGATGGTACGATCATTTGTTAGGACCCTTCACGCGGCCGCCTTCAACTGGTAACGCCATCTCAAGCTCGGAAGTATCAATAGCTGGGAAGATATGGAGAGCATGTTTCTCACTAATTTCTTTGATGATGACATTGAGATGTCAATCGTAACACTATTTGATGAGAAGCGAAAGGATGGAGAATCGCTCGATAGCTTCATTAAGCATTTCCAAAATAAGATAATGAACTGCCGAGATCCGGCCATCGAGGAATTGATCCTCCAAACGTGTCACAACAATCTTTCCTTGGACATGCTGGAAGCTATGAGCGTAGCACCATCCAAGATTTTGAAAGAGTTGAAGGTGTGCGGGGAGCAAGCCGAACACCATATGGAGAAGGCCGAAAGAGGTCAACCAACGGCTAATGCCCAAAACAGAACTTCACCCCTCGTGGTAAATGGAAGGTGCAAGCAAATACAGTGGATGCCAACCAGACCTTCCAGCTATAATCGCAACAGCAACAGCAACTACAACAACAGGCATCAAAGTAGCAATCACCTCAGTGGCAGCAACGACCTTAAAGGTAACAGAAGGCTTCTGAGCCAAAATTCCTAAAGGAATACTCCTTCAAGGAAGATGCGGTCCTCGGTATCTTCAAATACCTATTGGAGAACAACAAGATTAAGCTTTCCCCAATCACTGATCATGAGGGAACTAAGAAGACTACGGATCTACGGTACTGCGCATTCCACAGAGCAGTTTATCATCCTATCAAGACATGCTACGCTCTCAAGGACAAATTTCAAGCCTTAATTGATGTCGGGATTATCACTGCAAAGCAACCTAAAGAAAAGAAAGCGAGTGCAAACACATTAAGCATTAGTTTCGACTCTCTTCCCCTCATGTGGTTTCAACCAGAACCTGTGATAAAGGTAAGGATGAGGACGGTTAATAAAGATTCTCATGGATAACTCCAGAAAGGACAAGTACCACACACGACTCCCA